GCAGATCAGGCGCAGGGGACATGGAAAGTTGCAGCAGAGTCGTCATTCCGGCACCGCACCAGGCTCCAGCCTCTCTGTCAGCCGTAAGTGCGAAACGGTAGCCTGCCTGCCCTGGCAAAGTGTCTCTCGCTGGCTTCAGCGCACTCACGGGCCACAACCACCCCTCTCCTCCCACCAGCAGCGCCCAGATGTTGATCGCTGTCCTCACAGCACCTCTGCTCCAGCCTGGGCTGGGAGACACAGGCTTGGGCAGCCACCCAGGGGCTGCCCCTTCCCGCTAAGCCTTTCCAGATCAGTCAACGTCTCCACTCCCAGGAAGCCCGGAGGCAGGGTGGCGTTTTCTTCAGCTGCCACCTCCCCCTAAACATAACAGATGGCAAAAGCGGGGCGTCCACAGAAGAAGGTCAGGGAGGCTCAGGCAGGGGTGCGCTCTACCCCCAGCTCTCAAGTGACTGCTGGAAAAGGGGGGCGGGGATTCTGGTCGTATCTGTCTCATAGATTATTCTAAAGCCAGGCGACGACATGATAACTGTCTGGCACTGGTAAAAATGGAAAGATAAAAGTGGAGAGGGCTTTGGTTTGGGGAGGGGGCGCCGTGATCATGAGACACCAAAGCTGGGGTTCATGTTGGCACGTGGGGGATGGGAGGATCTTGACAGACAGGAGCACAGACTGGAGAAAGCTCCAGGTGGGGGACAGGTGGGGGCGCGTAAAGAGGGGGAGGAGAGGGCGTCAGAGGCACAGAGCGGTTGGGTGGCACCCAGGTTGCTGAAGGGAGGGACAGAGACCTGGCCCCGTGGAAGGTCAGCGGAGAGACAGGAACCGGCCCAAGTAAGGAAGGTAAGGGGGGCTGGAGAGAGGGGTCACAACCCCGCATGTAGGATGCAGCAAGGGTCCCGAGATGGGGTCACAGCGCCGGAAGTGGGGTTGTCACGGACAGGGGCAGTCCCTGGTGATGGGAGGTCCCGATCCAGGGTCAGGTGTGGGTGTCAGATCGCGGGGGAGGGGTTAATGCAAGGCGTGTGGGGTGTCAGCGAGGAGGATGATCTCGGGTGTCAGGGGTGCGGGCCGAGCGAGGGAAGCCTGGGCTACCACTAGCGAGGGTAGGGTTTGGGGGCGCTTTAACCTCTGTGCCCCCGCGACGCAG